TCACCAATGAAAATTCTGTGATTCCATAAATAAAGGAGACAAAGACTTTGAGGCCTCAGACAACTGCCTAGACACCCCAGGCTAACGGAGCAGAGCAACCCTGGTGGTGGGTGGCACCTGCCTGTCGTGGGCCTCCTCTGCAGGGTTTTCCATCTGAGTTACTTGTCAAGTAACTTCTTCAAGATGATCAGTTAGAGGGAAAAGCCTGAAGGACTCTCCATAAGGAATGGGAGTCCGTAGGAAGGCATGTTGCTCTGAGGCCCTCACTGCCTCTTGCCAGCAGACTCTGCAAGGTCCCACAGCCCTCCCTAGGGGCGCCAAGAGAATGCCTTTGCATGAGAGGTGAGCCAAGGAAGGAGGAGGTTATAGTCCAAAGGAGGGCAAAGCCCATCCCTGGGAAGATGGTTGGATGGGCTTGTGGTATAGACAGAGGACCTATGGCGTGTCTGTACGAGCCAGTACCAGGGAAGACTGCCCCTGGACACTGGAGCAGGGGGCCAGTTTTGCAGAAGACAAAAGGAAGCACTGAGGTTTAGGCCCAATCGGTATATTTGGGAAGGTTCCTTGCAGAGTTAGAGTCTGGAGCCAGAAAGGAGATTTCTGTGTTGTAACAAAGCTCAGTATGTCTACACCCAAGCTCGTTGCAGAGCTGTCCTTCTCCTGGTACCATGACGTTGAGTGGCATGTGTCTATACACTCACGCAAGCTGAACACAAGGGCATCCTCCGTAACTCTTTTTTTTTTTTTTTTAAGATTTTATTTATTTGAGAGAGAGAGAGAGAGGGGAGGGTCAGAGGGAGAAGCAGACTCCCTGCTGAGCAGGGAGCCCGATGCGGGACTCGATCCCGGGACTCCAGGATCATGACCTGAGCCGAAGGCAGTCGCTTAACCAACTGAGCCACCCAGGCGCCCCCGTAACTCTTGATGGAAGAGAGATCATCCCCATATCCAGTCCCCAAGTCCTACCACCTCTTCCTCCTAAGTCACCCTTCTGTCCCTCCCTTTTGCTCCATCACCACTGCTGTGTCCTGGCAAAGGCCTTCACAGTCTTTCCTCTGAAGCCCTATGGCAGCCTCCTCCTATCCTGCTTGTCCCCAGGCCTGCCCCCCAATCAGTCTGCTTCCATTCTACAGCTAGAGGGATCTTTCTAGAACACAGCTTCCTCCAGCCTCCTCCCTGGCCTCTCTGCCTCCCATCTCACCCCTATCAGTGCAAGAAACCAGAGGGACTCTTCTCGAACACAGCCTCTAGCATCACCTTACCCTCCTCGCAATTCTTCCCAGCTCCCAGGATGAAGTCAGCACAACCTGTGAGTCCCCCTGAGATCCATTCTCTGCTTTGGCCTCTTCTCTCCCTAGTCCTCCCCACAAGCCCAACTTCCCCACCTTTGGGAATCACATGCAATCTACTGGACACCCCCTGTCCTCTCTACCCTGCTGGACCAGCCATGCTTCCTGCCTGCTCTCTGGCCGATGTCCTTCTGTCTTACGGCTGAGCCTGGGGCACCTCCTCTGGGAAGCCTTCCGACCCTTTGTCCAAATCAGATGTCCTTCATTTGTGTCTCCAAAGCCTCTTCTGTGCGTGTTGCACTAGATGGTCATTGCTTACCTGTTTCCCCAAGGGTCTTTCATCTCCGTCTCCCTTAGGCCCAGCACATTGCCTGGCATAAAGTAAGCACCCAATAAATTTCAAGTTGAGCATATGGTAAGTTCCCTGTTAAACCTCAACCACCACAAATTCTGCCACCACCCAGGGGGTGTTCTCCATGTGGCCTCCTTCAGCTTTCAGAATCAGGAGACTTCCTGTAGATTTTTAGTGCGAAAAGGTAGATTCTTGCCTCTTGGTCTGTCAAATAAGTGTTCAACGTTAGAAGCTTCAGTTCATAGTGGTGATTTTTTTTTTTTTTTAAGCAGTAACATTTCAGTGATTACAGTCTCTGCCAGAAGGCTAAGCCTCCTCTATCCTAAGGAGTTCCTCCACTAATTGCAGTGTTGATCTGAGGGAAGCTTTCAAAAATGAAAAGGAAACCACTAAATGTTGCTGCTACTTTTCCTTCGCAGCTCAGATAAAACAAACACAGCGTGGGAGGGGGGATGTCCTCTTGGGGGTGTTGGCACCTTTCAGCATGCTGCACCCTCCTCTGCCTCCGCCCATGGTTCGGTGTGGTTTTGTTCCCTTCTGCCCAGAGCTACCAGGACATGTAATAAGAACTGTTTTTCCAGACTTCTTCATTAAAACAGGTTCTTGCAATCAGTGCCAGAGCATCTGCGCGCCTAGGTGTCAGACTTCATGACTCATCCCCAGTAAGCTACACCAGTACGGTTTCCCTCCACGGTGAGCCTGGCTGGGATAACTGCAGGTTTAGGAACAGTGCTGGCACACTTGTGTGAGAAACAGCCACCCCCCCGCACCCCTGCCCCGTATCCTCTTCAGTTAACAGGTGATTTTTGAGGGTGACGTCAGAACCTAAAGCAGTTGGGAAAACCATTAAATAGTATTTTATGGACTTCAGGGAAAGCAGTTTTGCTTCTGGTTCTACCACTTGTTACTAGCTTTGGGGTGGAGCGTGATTATTTGAGCTCCTGAGCCTCTGTTGCCTCATCTACAAGATGGGAGCAATAATCTTACCAGCTCCAGTGGTATGCAGATTAAGTAACGTAACATCTTGGCCCCAGTCTCTGGAATACATGCATTTGGTAGCCAAGAAACGATGAACTACTTCGGTCTACCCCACCCCCAGATTCAAACTTTCCCCCAAGAATAAAAACATAATGACTGACTCATTTCACTATGAAGGATTTAAATGAAAAGCCTTAAGGTAGTCAACCTTAAAAACAAACAAACAAACACGGAAGCACTTATTTGTGTTTTTTTTGTTTGTTTTTTTTTTTAAGATTTTTATTTAATTTTTTGACAGAGAGAGGCACAGCGAGAGAGGGAACACAAGCAGGGGGAGTGGGAGAGGGAGAAGCAGGCTTCCCACTGAGCAGGGAGCCCGATGTGGGGCTCGAACCCAGGACCCTGGGACCATGACCTGAGCCGAAGGCAGACGCTTAACAACTGAGCCACCCAGGCGCCCGGAAGCACTTATTTGTAAAACCATGAAGATCGCACTGGTTTTTTATTCCCCACACCCCCAACAGTCTTTAAACTCTGCTTAGCGGAGTCAGCAAGGCAGAGGAGATCTGTTTCCCAGGAGTGTGTTTTGCTCCTGGAAAGGACATAGGTACTAAATATCTGTCCCTAAAATCTGAAAGTCAAGAAAATTTTCTGGAAGCAGTTTATCCAAAAGGTTTCCCCATCCCTCCCCCTGGGAGAGGTCCTATATTTTAGTTATGCTGAATGATTGAATCTATTCCCTGCTGAATGCTTTCCTGAACACAAAGATATATCATCTCCTGGCCACTCAGGCCCCCACCCCCAGAGTCATCTGTCCCTCACGCTCCCCAGGTGTGGCCACATCTGGCTCCCCGCCCCACAGCACCCTGGTTCCCACGCCGCCACCTCTCCTGGGCCGCTGTGGGACAATCCTACTCTGCCCTCCGCTGTATGTGTCTGTTCCACAGTCGACCTTACCCTCTTTCAGAGGCAATTGTAATAGAAACAGAAAGAAACAAAACAAAATAAAAACCCTCTTTAATGTTGTTTAACCTGGTCTCTGCCCCCCTCCATCCACCCTCCCCAACTTGATTGATCTCAGACCCTTTTATTTATTCCCTTCCTGAGGAACTGAGGTTCCTAGACCCCATTTTGGAGAATGCGGCTAATTTGTGGGCAGGCTGCCACCCATTCACTTGTTAAGGTGGATTTGAGTGCAAACGTTGGTCGGTAAGAGCATCAACAGTAACACGTCGTCGTGTGCTAGAGTTCTGTTACTGACTGGACCATCTCCAGCATACATGCTAAGCGAAGAAAACAAACCACAGCATGCCACCAACTGCGATTCGCCTGCATCCGCTTTCACTGGACCAATATCCAAAACCTGACAGGCGTGCCTGCCTCTGGAGAGGGGCGCTGGGTGCCAGGGTGGGCTGGGAGCAGGTGCCTCACTGTGCACTGCTTGGGAACTTTAGAACTTTCTACTATTTTGAACACAGCTCTAATTGGCTCGAAATTCCACCAAACTTCACACAGAGAGTGGTCTGAAGTCCTCAGCTCTGCTCCTGGCTCTGTGATTGACTTCTGCCCACCTGCCCAGCTTCTCTCAGTCCCTGACGGGCCTGCCGTGCTTCTCTGCTGGCTCCCTGCCCATGACAGGTGCAGAGCAGCGGGGACTTGGCTTATTCATGCCACGTCTCAGATTTGCCCCGCTCCACTTGGAAGCCCAGCTCACATAGGACGTGCTGGCCCTAACACGGGACTGCCTACCCTGTACCCCTGCCTCTAAGAGGAGACCGTTACACTGGGGGACCCAGAGTCCCCAAGAGATGGTGACACCTCATACCAAAAGGCCAAGAGCTCCAGGGTTGAATGCGACTCAAATCCTTATCAGCCTTGTGCCCTGGGGACTCAAGGCTGATAAGGATGGTGACACCTCATACCAAAAGGCCAAGAGCTCCAGGGTTGAATGCAACTCAAATCCTTATCAGCCTTGTGCCCTGGGGAACGTATCCTTGTAACTTCCTTTCCCTTTTCTGTATGATGGAGGATGAGAAGTCCTAGTTCACAGGGCTCAGGCATGTTGCTCATCTGTCTAGAACACCTGGTACAGTGCCCGGCATCTTGTAGGTGTCCGTTGTCTGTTTAATTTCTTCCCTTTCTTCCTCTCCTTCCTGTTTTGACTAGCAACCTGTCATTCATTCCTTTGGGTCTTAAAGCCCTGGGGTTTCAGAAGAAAGAACATAAGGCCAGAAATAAGACATTCAATCCTGGCTCCACCGATACCTAACCCTGGGAAGACAGTAGGCTCCTCCATGTCCTTGGATCTCCTGCCCCAGCACAAGAACCATATTTATCTCCATACAAAAGACTTTTGGTCATCCAGACACCACGGATGCAAAGGGTTAGCCTACAGCATGAGTGCAGATGCTCTCCCGCACGTCAGCTGGCTTATTAAGACTATTTGGAAGACGAGTAAGGTAATGTGTTCCATATGCTAAAGACAGGATGATTTAGCACCATGCAAGGTAGAGTGGGGACGCCCCCACTCATTAACAAGGTGACCTTGGACAAGACGTTCACTACTCTCCGCCTCAGTGACCTCATCTAAAATATGAGAGCAATAAAATCTTACCTCACAAGGGCAGGCTGTGAGGATCCTATGAGGCAATCCGTGTGGAAGGTCTTGGTAAACTGTGAAATGCTCTGCACATGTCGGCCAGATTAGCAGTTCATGCGCCTGCTTGTTTATTGTTTCAGCGGCGAGTGCAGGACGTCATCAGTCCCATCGTGTTTGAAGCCGCCTACAGCCTGGGCGAGCACGTGACTGGAGAGGAGGAGAGAGAACTGCCCCCTCTAACACCAGTGCTCCGGTGGAAAAAGGGACAGAAGATTGCCCAGAAGAATCAGGTCAGATCTTTGAAGCTCATGTCCGGGACCCAGGGTGGCAGGTGGCCTGCAGCGGAAGTCGTGGCCCTGGCTGCCTGGGCACACCCTCTCTCTGCACCTCCCTTTCCTGATCTGCAAAATGATAAAATATATGGTTTGGGGGGTTGCGTCTAAGAACTATGTGATTTAAACACAGTGAGGCTGTTCCCAAGCAGCTATAAACTTATAACCCCTTGGAGGTCATGAACTGGTTACTTGGCCTCTCAACTTGACACCTGTTCCTAGACCATTTCCAGAACTTAGGTCACATAGTAGGTGCTCACTAAATGTTTTCTTGGTGAGGGCATGAGAACATCATCTTGTAGAAGTGGTGGTTGAGTTAGAAATTCCCAATCCGGGCGCCTGGGTGCCTCAGTGGGTTAAGCGACTGCCTTCGGCTCAGGTCATGATCCTGGAGTCCCTGGATCGAGTCCCGCATCCTCCCTCTGAGCCTCCCCCCTCTCATGCTCTCTCTCTATCTCATTCTCTATCTCAAATAAATAAATAAAAAATCTTTAAAAAAAAAAAAAAAGAAATTCCCAATCCAAGCATCCCTAGAGCCCAAAACGGGGCAAGTGCTGGTGGGCCACCCATCCTGTCTGATGCTCATCAGATTCTCGGATGTGCTGCTGTGTAGACGAGCTGCAGAGCCATGTCAGGTGCAAGCCCTCCAAATAGGAGTGAGCCCGTGAGCTGACTCGGCCGCAGTGCTGCCTGTCTGCCCTGAGCCGTCCATGACACATGCAGCACTACTATTCCAGAAATAGGCAAAGACACTGTGGTCCCAAGTCGGTTTTCAGTCTTTCCTCAACACCCAAGATCACCACAGATCCAGGACCCTGGTGGGGGGATGGTCAGGCAAAACTGCTTTTTGGCTAAACTAGACTTCTGTGCAGGATGGGAGCAAAGCTGTGGAACCACTTGCCGGCCCCACCCTCCTGCTGACTGTACTGAGCTTAGGGGAAAACTCGCACGTCAAGTGAGCCATGCCTTGCAGATTACACTTGTGAACAAAGCCACAGAGGAGTGTTTGAGGTTTGACATGTGCATCCAGACATTCGATTAAGTGGTGAGATTTTTACCAAGGCATCCCAATTCTCTACCAAAGTATCTCCCACATGGTCTTGGGTCAGGTTCCCTAGAAGCAGAGCCTAAGGTAGGGATTTGGGAGCACATGGGAGAAACCTAAGGAAGTGAGGAAAGTGGAAGGGACTAAGCAAGGATGTGGCCTCAGCTAGGCTAGCCCTAGCTGAGCTGGGGAACTCAGGAGCATAAATTACACCAAAGAGTTGTCTTCTTGAGGCAAGGGGGCTGGCCTTTTGTGTCCCATGTTAGTCCACCATTGCCTGGCTATCCCATGTAGAAAAGGAGTGTAGGTCTCCTTGAAGGAGAGCCCCTTCAGCTTGGATAGTTCTCTGGGGAAGGATGCAGATGTGATCCATTAGCTGCCTACACTCACATGAGCTGGGGGATAGGTGGCAGTTGTACAGGGATGTGGGCAGGGCTCTCAGTGCCTGCTACACACATACACACAACCTACTGGCATTACTGACTTTTTAGATCCTTCTTTTGATTTTGAACATGAACTTCTTTCATGAAAATACAGGTACCCTGGAAGGGGGCCAGTATGTCCTGCTGGTTTTTGACACTTGGAGTAGGCTGGAGTCTCAGTGAATGAGCGTGATCAAAGCCAAAGATGCAGGGACAGATTAATATTAAAATGCCCTTCTTGGTCACTTCTCTTTCAAGATGGCCACATATGTTTATTTCACCCATTTAAATCACCCATTACAGTGATTATAGATGAGTTAATAGGGACAAGGAGGAGAACCAAGTGGGAGAAGGGGCATCAGTCAGCAAGAGAGTCATAATTTTCTGGAGTGAGTGAAGATGGAAGAGTGTTGGTGGGTGAACCTTATATACATAGAGGAGCTGGGTGTCCATCTACCCAGGGATCCAGAAAGGCTGCATGGCCAAACCAGCAGTTACAGAAGGGTGCAAGAGTGACAGGTGGGACTGAAATAGGGAAGGAAGGGGGGGTATTAAGTGAAACTTGGTAAGTGGAAGAGTTGACGTTTCACCCCTGTCCTTGTCCCTATATACTTTAGGCATGGGGAATAGCAAGCAACCAGGCATTTTTCTTCTGTAAAGAATTTAGTAAACTGGTTGAGATAGTGTGAGTTGGCTGGTTCCCCAGAGGAAAGCCTTACCTCCCCTGGCATTTAGAGGCTCCAGTGTAAGTGCTAGCTTCCCCTCCTATCATTCACCCAGACACATCCACAGATTATCTAATCAGTCCTTTTGCCTTATTCTTAAATACAAATGGACAGCCAGTGGTGGCAACTGCACTATTGAAATGTGGTATATTGAAAAAGAAACAAAATAAACAACAGAATAACTGACTTAGAAGAAAATAGATTATTTAGGGAATAGAAGAGATTATGTAAATTTGAAAACCACCTTAAAATAAATACAAGGAGATTTAAGAATATATTCTGTCCATTGGGAAATGGTTAGAATTCTATTTCTTTTTGAAGGGAAGAAACAGAAAAAAAGAAAAACGTTCTTAAAAATAACTCTATCATTGCAGAGACAAAAATTTAATAGGATAAGAAGATGATGGTAAGAAATCCCCCAGTAAGCAGAGCTAAAAGACACATAGAAAAGATAGCTGAAAGATCAAATTACAAGGTCCTATATTCAAGTAATAGGAATACCAGAAAAAGTAAACAGAGGAAATGTAAAAAGTTATGAGAGAGACAATAGAATAAAATTTCCCAGAGGTAAAGGACATTATTTTTTAATTTAATGGTCTCACCAACTTACAAGCAGAATAAACCCAAAATAACCCAGACACATCATTTTGCAGTGTCTCTGCTCCTAAAATTTAAGGAAAATTCTAAATGTTTCCAGGACAGGGAGTACAGGATGGTGATAGTGGGGGATATATGTTAGTTTACAACAGAAGTACAGTCATACTAACTAGACCATCAAACTCCTGATTAGCAATATTAGAAGTCAGAATATGGTGAAATAAAGGCTTCAAATTTCTGAGAGCAAGTGATTTGAAACTAGAATTTTATACTTAGCATAACAGTCAAGTATGAGGTCAAAATACAGTCATTTTCCAGACAAGCAAGGACCATATAGTTTACCTCCCTAGGAACACTTCCAAGCAAATAATTCGAGATGCATCCAACAAAACAAAAGGGTAACAGCAAATTCAAAAAAATAATGGACCAATTTAGAACGTAGGATCAATGAACTTCGGGAAGAATAAAGCCAGCAATAGGCAGAATAACAGAAAATAACAAAACTTTAGGATACAGTGTAGAAGAAAAATATTTCTTCTCTAAATAAGAAAAAATAAAGCCAATCAGAAACTCTCAGAAAAATAGAAATATGGTCAATGTGTCATGGTTCAAACATAGAACAAAATGTCATGGGATTTTGAGCAAGTAGAGGAGTATATGGAAGAGAAGGACTTTGATACTAGAAATATTCTTCCTTAAGTGAAAGTTGAATATTCTAGGAGTTGAACTTTGCACCTGTAGAAGACAATATGTAATCATGACACTTGTCTTGGTTCTACTGTGATCAATAATCATGTAGCCAAAGTAACGTTAGCATTATTTATTGATTTTCAGTATACTATAAAATGTAAATGTCCTTAAATTTGACTGTATAGAGGTAAAAATAGAATGACCAAAGTTCTCTTAATTTCTTAAATTGGTGGGTCAAAAGGTATTGCAAAACTTGATGAAACAAGAAATACTACTTAAAATCACAGAAGTCATCAGTGGAGTACTACTTCTTAAATTGTGGTTGCTGAACCAGCCATGTCAACCTCTTTTGGGATCTTGTGATAAATGGAAATTCTTGGGCCCCACCCAGACCCACTAAATCAGAAACTTATGGGCCAGGCCCCAGCAATCTGTCTTTTAACAAGCTGACCAGGTGATTTTTTTTTTTTTAAGATTATTTATTTATTTATTTGAGAGAGAGAGAAAGAGAGCAAGAGAGAGCACAGGTGGGGAGGAGAGGGAGAAGCAGGCTCTCTGCTAAGCAGGAAGCCCCATGTGGGGCTCGATCCCAGGACACTGGGATCATGACCTGAGCCAAAGGCAGTCACTTAATCGACCGAGCCACCCAGGCACCTCTGACCAGGTGACAGCAGCAGATGTTTCAGAACCACTGCAGGAGAGGAGCTAAGACTAATGATTTGCCTGTCAAAATTAGGAAGGCAGAGGAGAGAGAAATTCTTGTCCATTGTGGCAGGAATTCAGTAAGATAATGTCTAAATCTGATTAATCATCAAAAGAAATATATGTGGACATGGGTAATAGTTGTTGCCCCTGGAGAGAAGGACTGAGTGTAAGGCGGACTGTGGCAGGGGGTCATTATTTTTTTAAACATGTGATTCTTTGATTGAAATTCAAATGAAAGAAAAATATTGTTCTTAGATTGGAAAGATTTTCCAGGAGTCTGGGAAATATTCTGGGAGAGTGATCCTGGCTTTTTCTCCTTTTCCTGATTAGGTGGTGGGGGGTGGCTAATTTAATGATCATCCACCATGTGTCTTCCAGATGTTGATGCAGCTTCAGGGGGAGAAAGATTCTGAGAGCGAGGCCCACTCCAGAAAGCAGTGCTGAATTTCAGCCCATGTGTGTATTTATGACAGTTCCACAAAGAGCATCTAACTTCTTTCCTAGGAGAGAATAACCTCTTTGGAGCAATTCAAGTCATGTTGCCAGATAACATTAGGATTTAAATACTGTAGTGTCTTCAACTAAAAGGCACCGAGCCCATGTTGGTACGCGGGATTTTGCAGCAGGGTGAACTGCCTCCTGGGGATCCTTTGGAGTCGCGGACTGCCCTCCTGGATGGTGGAGTTCAGGCGGAATAGCTGCACAGACAGTGTGTTTACCATGGAGGCAGTGACTAGAGCCTGTGCAATACATACTCCCAAGGGATCTGCGACT